TCCCTCCCTCCCTCCTCCCTCCTCTCTCTCTCCTCCATCCCTTCCTCCCTCACAAGGCCACCTGAAGCTTCCCGACCAGGTACCTGGAAGGGAGCTCTTTCGACCCTCTAGACCCTCTCTGACCCTTTCTCCACTGACCTTAGAGGGTCAGCTTCACCAAATCCCAAGACCAAACAGTGGGGTGCTTCACTCCACGGTACTTTCTGTTGCGAGGGTCGAGTCGAACGCAGAAGTTCCGACCCTTGGCGCCGGGCCGTCGCGAGCGAAGAGATGGGTCGCCCCTTCTTTCACCGAGTTTTGGGGGGAAGACCCTGGTGGTTGGGGTGGTTGCCCTAGGGATGTGTGGCCCACGAAGTCCAAGGTGGTTGGGGTGGGTGCCAGAGGTGTGTGTCCCTACCTTCTGAGGATGCGGGCCAGGAGCAGTAGGGATGTTCCAAGTTTTTAGTTGCTTCCGGGGAGCCTTGAATCCAGGTGTCTCCCGCCCGTGGGTGTCTCAGGTGTCATCTGTGCCGCTTCCACAGGCGGGTGAAAGTGTTCAAGGAATTCACGGGCAGATCCAGGAGATTTGTTTAGTCAGGGGGTAGTTGAAGGGCGAGTAACTGAGGATCAGACGAGGAGCTTCTCCAGATGAGCAAGAGGCTAAACATGGCTAAACTCTCCGGTTTCATTTCTAGTAGTGGGTCGACATAACTCTTTAGCGCGTCCCAAAACTTGTTCCAACTTGTCTTGTGCATGCGCAGGTGTCCAAAATCATGGAAAGAGATCAATTGAAATCCTTTGAACATGATAGCATGGTGGAAGCAAAGATTATTGCCATATTCCAAGTTGGGAAGATGTTCCCAGTTCCCATGTCTAGTTGCCTGAAACGTACCGAACACGGTGATGGTTTTCATCGGCCCAACATTGGGTCGTTGCTTCGTTCATGCGAGGTAGGGCTCTCCGCGTGGTCTTCTGTTGAATGAGTAGAGCCTAGGACCCTCTAGGCCCAGAGAGTGGAGTCGCAACCACCCTTGCCCTGGGCCTCTAGTGGTACCGTATCGTTTCGGTTCGGGACGACCGGGGCCCGGGTGCCGACCCGTTGGGTCCAGTCATACCGAACGGAGGTATGACTGGAGCCCTGGGGTTTGGTATTCATCTCACGTGGAAAATTATCACAGTATTGTTACATGGCCTTTTGTTGTTGACATAGAGATGGACACCAGTGCCTTTCTAACGGAACATGAACTTGAGAAGATCCCAGTATATGTTTCCATGTTTGTGACACAACTATGCACGCCAATGATGAAGCACATCAGGGAGATGGGAGATGGCTCCCTTACAACTGCTGTTTCCCTTCAGAGCTAGTTTGTGATGCAGGCTTTCATGTTGATTTTCCAAGCAAGGCCAAATCAGTCAGCTGTCAGGTGTGATGTTTCCTGTCCCAGGTGCTTCCACCTGCCGCGTCCGCCCACGCACTGGGCACGCCCCACGGCACCCCACGTGCGGCCGTGAGTGCGGTGTCGGGGTCTCTTCGTGTGCCCGCGCTGCTGGCGGTGGGTGCGGCCGTGGTGTCGCTGCGGAAGAAGACAGACGCTCGGAGCGAAGTCTTCCAACAGAGGTTGAAGATGGTTGAAGTATAGACTATCCCAATAGGTAATTACCCTGGTAGGGTCCTATTTACGGTCACTTAACCTCTGCTGGTGTTCTTCCTGCCGGCTTCGTATTTCACAGGGATTGGGGACCGGACCGCTGCCAGGGCAGCGGTGGTGTGGGGATCGGCCTTTGGGACGGATTGAACACACCACTGACGACCACGTCAGAGAGGTCACCGTGGTTTTGGGGAATGCGTATGGTTTGACTCCGTGAGTCTGGCATATGTGGACTCTTGAGGCAAAGACCCCGTGCCATTTGGAGTGAAGAACCTCTTCACTCTGGGGAGGTTAATTCATCAAGATCTTATAGGTGACATACCAACAGAGGTGGAAGAATCCGACTGTTCGACTATCCCAGTTAGGTACCCCATGGTGATGGGTGCTAGATTCAGGTCCCTATCTCCACCTCTGTTGGTCCCTCTTTTCGTGGTCGGAGCTTCGGAACCCACCGAGCTCCAGCGGTGCGCGCGGCCGCGGTACAGGCTCGGCGCTTGGGCCCTTCGGCCTCCACCGAGCTCTTAGAGAAGCGCCGCGAGGGCGAAGAAGGCGCCGTTCACGGCGGCGTGCCGCCGGGTGTGCGGGGGTTGCGGGAGGTCGTCGCGAAACCAGGGCCGATGCTGGGGAAATGGTGTCGGTTTCGGGGATTGTGAGTTCATGACAGCAGGTTTTATAATATTTGTGGTTTGTTTTGTTACAGCTTTTTTGTAATGCAGTCAGGCCCCCAAGGACCTTTCACATTCTGAAGTTTGGTGAGCCACTCCCTCCACAATTGTGCGTGTGGAAGTGGTTTGGGCTGGGCGCTTTTCCAGGTTTGTTTGAGCAAGAAGATCGCTTCTTGCTTTGCCAAACTTTTGTGGGTAATTCGAGTCTTTTGGTGGTTTCTTCTCTTCCAGAAACCCTGCACTTGTGCAACCCTATACCAGGGCCGCTAAGGGGTGTCTAAATATATGTCTGATCTAATATGATACTAGCCCCTTAGAGGTGTCCATCAA